ACGGGAATTACGGGCCCATCTTACCGAAATCATATAATTTTTCGCTAGTTTGAGAACCTTTTCACAAGAAATCAACCATATTCGTCGGGTCCATTACATCAAGAATGCCTTTACATTAGTCGAATTTGTGCCATAGGCGGAAATTTTGATTCCCGCAGTGAGTGATATATGCGTCTTAAAGATTGCGATCTATCTCTGGTATACCCTGTATACTATTATATTTACTTCACTAAATGCAATTTCGTGTTGTAGCTAGAGTTACAAGAACCACAACTGGGTTACGACCTCTTTCTAAAATAGGGAAAATCGAAACTGAAATATCTTGAAGCACTCTAGGCTTGGATTGTATTTGTCAACTGCTAGTTATTGCATTAAACTACAAACCAACAGCTAAACAATTCAACCGAATAAAGTGATGGTGCATGTACAAAATGTAGGTATAGTTACAGCTACAAAGGATAATTTTGAAACAGATGTTTGCGTTGAAAATATACATTCCATTTGTAGAGAGGATGTGAATATATCGAGCACTGTATGGAAATGTATCATGTATCAGTGGCGCGATTCAAAGCAGTGCGAAAATTTATTAGTCCGAGTGAGAAATAATAACTAAACAATGACGTCTAGTAGATCGACTGTATTGCAGCTTTGGACAAATGGATTTTAAGCATGCTAACTTTGTAAGTTCTGGTGTCTTTATTATTCGACGGCTATGAATATCCTTGTACTTTTACATAAGGTCGTAGAGAAGAATCAGTATCAGTGAAAAACAGTATTGTTGATTTAAACAAAATTATTTTTCAGACTTTCATACGTTCAGGGACCTTTACTGTTAGGCGGTCATGGAAATTCGTAACGTTGGTGATGTTATAGATTGAATATAATTGATTTGCAAATTTAATTTCTTTTCTGACTATGGATGGTACAACTTCCGCACGGGTATTATGTAAAAAACCATAAAACACCAACAAAAAAACATAAAATTTCATCTCGCAGACTAGGTAGTTTTTAGGTGCAAACAGGCATTCCACGTTTGCTCAATAGGATCGTTGTGAGCGGCCATCTATGAAGAAATGGCTCAACTACACGCATTGTTGGTTGCATATGTTTTGTGAAGCCGAGAAGTCTATACTTTTTTGGTTTTCATCTCTGAGAAGAAAGTTGGTTGAATAGCAAGATCGCATCTGGATGATTGTATGTATTGGTCTGCATGTGTATAAAATCAGTGATATTTGCTGTGTGAGAGAAGCATTACTTAATATGCTGCCAATGCAGTATATCTGTTAGCTGTACCCGACGGGTTATTTATATGTTCTCATTTCTGAAGATACGTTATGTTCAAAGTTATAAATTATGTTTTTTTACGTGTTTTTTGGTGTTTTTAAAAACTTTGAGGAAATCACGGAAAATCACCACCGCGCCCGCGTTGTGTGTTAGAATGTATATGACTTGTAATTCGACAGTGTACAGTGAATATAATTATTTCTTATCTTTCTCATTTTTGTAATTCAGCAAATTTGTATATGTAATTTCCAGAGTGTATAAGTAAGTAAGTGTGTTTGAGACATTAATCCAATGGAATTATCATCAACGGGTATTATTAGCACACAAACCCTCAATATGCACCTATGCATTGCCGTTACCTATAGTAATGCCATCTCTGAAGCAAATTTTACATCATATCAGAGCCAAACATTGATAACTGAAGCCTCATGACGTTTGGGCAACACGTGTCCATCAGCTAGAGCTAAGTTAGCATCTTGTAGAAAAACCTACACTATGTCACAAAAAACCAATATAATGTCAAAAAAATCGACATAATGTTACTTTTCAATATACGTAATACCCGTGCCGTACGCCCTGACCTGCCGCAGGTAAAAGACTTCGCGTGTTTCTGGATAGCTGGCGTTGCTAGAGTCACAGACGTAGATATTATGCGCAGTTTGTGTGATATTATGTCTAACAAGTGGGTAATACTATCGGGATCACAGATTTCTGAATAAACATGTTTGAGTGATACCAAGGGTGCAACTTCTTCAGCCCCCTGCCTCGTTCAATCCCTAATCCCCCATTTTCAGCCCTCACAGAATGTTTCTGAAAATATTCAAGAGCCTCTGAAAGTCAGCAATGAAGGTTGAACAATTGTATCCGTGTATACAATTGTAATTATGTTAATTATATACATCTTGGTATTCATTTAAACAGTGTAGACGATATATACAAAGTATTTCAAATTCGACCCTCACCATTGAGATCTCGGAATCTGTAAGATATAGATACGAAGTCGCTTAAATGGAGGCAAAGCTGCGTATTAAAGTATTCAACAAAATGCCGCTTAGGAAGCTTCGGAACTCAAAGTACTACCGGAGAGAGATGGAAAATACCAAATTTCCCATAACTGATCTAATTTTTTCCTGATTTCAAAATATATTGCACATTTACATCAGCACTTTTTCTCCTCTACAAGATGACATAATTAGATTTCCAATATCACGTTTCATCTCCAGCATTCACTTTATTTTTTCTCATCGAAATATTGCATTAGAGTGAAACAGCCAAAACCCAAAAGGCTTATCTCAAAATCGGATTTTTACATTACGTCACCTCTGCGATTGCAGAAAAATTCAGAGGACTTCTCAAATTGTTATTTCTTCCAGCTGACCTGTTTCCACCCCCTTTTTGTTCTGTATAAAAGCGCAAAAACTCGCAGGGGCGTGTAATCAGAGCATTAGCGCTAGGCCAGCGGCGCGCTGCGGAGGCGTAAGGTGTAATTGCATAAATAAATCAGCGATTCGGCTGTAGGGCGATTACGGGAAGTTAATTAGGATGTCCCTGGAGGGTGAGAGGCCATTTCGCTTGCACCTTTCCCCTATAGTCCAGTTCCAATGAACATTTAGAGGAAAGTAGGACTAGCCCACGTATCTGAATCGAACATTCCTGTCAAAGTTTTTATATATAACTTTGAACACGAATGTTGCCTGATACTGAATAGGCAAAATGTCTTAAAACTGTATATACAACATTAGGAACCCAATGACATGTGTTTCAAAATATATTATCTATACATTTCTTTCAGTAATATGCCTAAGAAAGGACCCCACATAAAAAGTGGAAATCAGAAAACGCCGTAGAGGCAGTTAAAAGTAATGAAATAGGATATTTAAACGCATCAAACTACTTCGGCGCTTCAAAGTCGACTCTCGAACTATACGTCAAACGTGGCAAATCTTTGGACGAACAATTCACGCTAGGGATGGGTCGAAAACCACTTTATCAACTGAAATGGTACAGTCTTGGTACAGTACTGTTTGGCAATAGTCAGAAGATTTTATGGTCTAAGAAAAAAATAACAATTCTCGTCTCTTTTAAAAAAGAGACGGTAAGGTCGGCCACTCACGTACAGTTTCAACTGACAGTTTGAACTGTTCAGTGAAAACTGTGCAGTTAAACCTCAACGTGTGTGGGTGTGTCAGTCGCAGTTTAACTCAACTGGACAGTTAAACTGAGACAAATAAATTGTCAATTGTTTTAACTGAATGGTTCAACTGATCGTTGCGTGTGTGGGGGTTCGACTGCACAGTTCTCAGTTCAAGTTGTGTCTCAGCACCGTGCGGGTGGTTTTTTGAAGATGTCGCGGAATAAGCCAAACCCAGTGATCGTAGATTTTATTGCGATATACAGATCGGAACCTTGTCTTTGGCAAGTAAAGAGCCCGGAATATCATAATCGTACGAAGAAGGATGCTGCATATGCCAAATTGGCACAAAAGTTGGTGGAAGTTGAACCTGGTGCTGACAAGAAGTCTGTGATCAATAAAATTAACAGTTTGAGAACTGCTTTTCGGAAGGAGAAAAAGAAAGTTGATGCATCATACAAGTCTGGAACATCAACGGATAGCATTTACAAGCCGGTACTTTGGTATTATGACATGTTTGATTTTTTGCAAGATCAAGAGATTTCAAGGACCTCAATTTCAAATTTGGATGGTGAAAGTGGCGAGGTAAGAAAAACACGATATTATGAATACATGGAAAAACAAATTTTCTATTTATTTTTGTAAACATCAAATAATGTCTTTATTTGTTTTTTAAAATGTGATTCTTCTGCCATGGGACTTCGCCATCATTCATGAAGTAGTCCATAAAGCGTTGTCTGATTTCTTTTGCGTCATTGCCAATATTTCCTCGATTTTGACGATTTAGTGGAATCATATTTGATTGTGAACTATCGCACCCAATAGAAATAAGAGATCCATCGTTACTATTTTCTTGATACCTTAAGTTTGCAGGAGCGTATGTACTAGATTGATGTTCAATCAAAAAGTTATGTAAAGCACAAGCAGCCATTACAATTTTTTCTATATTTTCTGGTTCTAAATTAATTGGAGACTGAAAGATACGAAATCGTGAAGCAAGTATACCAAAAACGTTTTCGACAATATGTCTTGCTCGTGATAATCGATAGTTAAAAACCTCTTTGTCTGCTGAATCTAATAGTCCCTGCCTGAATGGTTTCAAAATATCAGTTCTGAGAGGAAACGCATCATCCGCAACGAATACATACGGAACGTTTTGGAAATTGTCACAAATATCATCAGGTTGGGGAATATTTAAATCCTCGTTCACCAGCTTCTCAAAGAAAGTTGTATTCTGAAGAACACCGCCATCGGAAATCCGCCCATTTATTCCAAAATCTGCTAGTAGGAATCGGTATTTTGCGTCAACTATAGCCAGAAGAACCATACTGTGTTTGCCTTTGTAATTATAATAATACGATCCAGAGTTTTGTGGCGGAATTATATCAATATGCTTCCCATCTAAGGCACCGATGCAGTGTGGGAAATGCCATCTTTCCTCAAACGAAGCTGCAATCTCCTTCCATTTTTCTCCTGAGTTGGGAAACTGAAACAGGCAACAATAGCTAAATATGTTATGTTAAAGTAAATTAGATGTTTTATTTTTTTTTGTCAATCCTAGTACACAGTTGCTTCTATTTTTCAGGAATCCGTTGACAATGCACTCCCAACTGAAGAAACAGGAGAGGCTGATGATGATGTAGAAATGAGAACTGCGGTTGTTGAAGAAGTGTCAAGAAAATCTCAACAGCCAATAACCTCAAGACCTGGTTGTAATAAAAAACAAAAGAAAAATGAGGATCTCACAACAGAAACCTTGATGACAGTGCGTGACCATTTCAAAACACCCAAGGAACAACTTGACCGCTTTGATCTGTTGGGAAAAACTATTGCTGTAAAGTTGAGAGGTTTGGAAAAACGCCAGGCTCTCATTGCGGAGAAAAAGATAGGTGACATATTATTCGAGGCGGAAATGGGTTCTCTAAACACAGCGCCAATATACCGTTATGCTGCATCACCAAGTCAGAGTCCTAATACTACCCCATGTCCCACGCCATCTCCAACATATGGACAAGGTTCATGTACAGCGTTAGCAAGTCAATCTCCTAATGTCACTCCATGTCCCACGCCATCTCCAACATACGGCCAAGGTTCATTTAGACAGTTCCATAATGATGGAAGTGGACAATTATCCTTTTCTCAGGACAACACAGCATCGACTTATTTTTCTCAATTTGATGCCAATTCATGAAAATGTACCCTTTCATAAAAATAAAAGCAGTTTGCCAAAAACAACTGTTTTTCGTTTCTCTTATTCTAAATTAAGAAGAAAATACGTACCGCCATATACTTCTTTAAAACTGCGTACAAGGCGTTGCACGTTTCTGGGATAATTTTACCAAGACATTGAGGTGATATTCTAGTCGAGAATTTGAGACACTCATACGACCGTCCTGTTGCCAGAAATCTCAAGGTAGCAGTTAATCGTTCGTGTGGAGATATTGCTGCCCTCATAACTGTATCTTTCTTCTTAATCAAAGGAGAAACCAGCAAAAGCAACTTTTGATACACTGCTTCTGTCATGCGCAAATAATTAAGGAAATCTAATGGTTCCCCTCTCAATTCTTTTAATAAGCTGATGTCCGAAGATTGATTTCGTCTCTGTAACCACTTCTTGCACCACTGTTTACGCTTTTTACATTGTTTACTTTTTTGTAAAACTACACAAAGTATACCCAGAGCGGCCAAATCGTTCTGCTCTGTTCGATGCATTATTTAAAACTGATAGATTGACCTGTATGTGTGTGTGCAAACAGACTGAACAGTTTAACTGCACAGTTTTCACTGAACAGTTCAAACTGTCAGTTGAAACTGTACGTGAGTGGCCGACTTAATGCCGGTAAAAAAATGGTTCCGACGTCATCCCAATCTATCTTTAAGAAAACCGCAGGGGATTTCAAAAAATAGAATAAAAGGTTTTACCCCTGAAAATATCAACGGTTTCTTCAATATCCTGGAACTAGCTATGGAGAAGATACATTTTATCTCACTCAGAGTTGATTACTAGAGTCATCACCCTGAAAGGATAAAACAAGTAGGAGCCGTGACTATTTTCAAAAAGAAAAAACTAAAGAAAGTAGAAGATGAAAGTGAATCCTCTATCTCCTCAGAAGATGTTCCTTATGAAAAAGACTCAGATATGGATGTCGATTAAGAGAGTGACGCAGAGTGTATTTTCTGCACTGCACGTTATTCAGAGGACCAACATGGAGAAAGGTGGATACAGTGTTCAATTTGCATCAGATGGTCACATGAAGATTTTTGTTAGGAAAAATAGGTTAACAGTATTAGATAGGGTATCCAATTTTGGGAACCTTTTTGTTTTATTTGAAAGAGGGCCATTTTTTACTTGTGCCTATTTTTTATGCCGTTTATGGGTAAAACAAATGTTTTAGTATGCATCACGTGTTTTTATTTAAGCGATAGCACATTTTGAGCGCAAACAAATGATTACAAAAGTTGTTTTCCATCTCATAAAATTCAATTAAGAAAACGTATCCAAAATTAAGCCACTTTCCTCTATCCTTAAACCCCTAGAAAGCTTACATGTACATTCTCAGTACAAAATATATGATGAATGTGCAGTAATGGTGCATATGCCCAGTGTTGCCCTTTCACCAGTTTTATAAATTCTGATGCGTTTCATATTGGGCTTTTCAAAAGGGGTCAAATTACCAAGTTGAAATTTTGGATGATGAAATTGATGCATAAATACTATATATATATATATATATAATTAATTGTTAATTGGGAAATTGGCAAACATTTTTAGGCTTTAATTAACTCTGTTGACGATAGTATCAAGCTTTCGGCAATTCTCTATGGAGCCTTCATCAGGATCTGAAGACACAATTATGATGCTAGCGACCAATACAGGAAAGACTTAAATTGTCAAACAACTTACTCGTCGTTGAGGTGCCAAATTGTGTTTCAAAACGAACGCGGATATGAGAGTACTTGTTACAAATATAAAACCAATCCGATGGACACATTGAGCGTATTGATAACGACAGATAACATCATTATGTGTTAACACAAAGAGAATTGCCGAAAGCTTGATACTATCGTTAAAAGAGTTAACTAAAGACGAAAAAAGTTTGCCAATTTCCCACTTAAAAATTAATTGTATTTTTTTGCCCAACTGGTCGTTGGCAATGGCAATGACTACGGCTCATACATATATATATATATATATATATATATATATATATATATCAATATCACACATTCCTACACTCATATGAGCTACACAAAAAAAATTCCAGGACAAGTTAATTCAGCATTTTAGTAATTTCGGGTGGAGGTTTACCGAGCGTCCCTCGTATACTTCATACCCAAAACTGGACAGAGAGGTGTACATTTCCACGGTCCGTCGCGTCAATCACTTGTCATCTGTCGACGCTTTATCTTTCCGTGTCGTCCCCCTCTCCACGTGTTGCGAGTACAGAAGGTTAGAATCTGCATTCCGATTGTTTCAACAAAATGTCGTCTCACATGTAATATTTTTAACTTGTTCGGGTGGATTGATATTTTTCACATTTAACGAAGGTATCTGTCATTTTACAACAAAGCCAATGTCCCCGTCCTTTTGTTTTTATACTGATTACAATTTCGATCCTCTACGTTCGTTCTGAAACACCTTGTGGCTGCAACCTCACCGACGAGCAAGTTGTATGACAATTTAAATCTGTCCTGTTTTCTTTGCTAGCATCACAATTGTGTTTTCAGGATCCTGATGAAGGCTCCATAGAGAATGCCGAAAGCTTGATTTTATCGTCAAAAGAGTCAACTTAAGCCTAAGAGTTTTGCCAATTTTCCCAATTAACAATTAATTGTATTTTGTACCCAACTAGTCGTTGGCTTTGGCAATGACTACCGCTCATATATATATATACTAACATTTTTTTAAATCGAATAGGAGGTCGTGTGATATCTCATGTTAAAGCTCCTCAATGCTGTATGACAAACAAATAATAGCAAATCTAGATGACTATTTGCTGTTGATATGCTACTATTTTTCTACTCTATCTTTAATTGTTGACAGTATTGTCACCTGACACATATTGACTTTTGTTCTGTCAAAAATTTACTTCATAATCATGCGTTGAATCCAACCTTAATTCTGTGCATCGCTACTTTGTTTTAAAAACTGACTTATTTGCTCAGCTCAAGCTGCTAAAAGATTGGAAACCCCCCCCCTGAAAAGTTTACATTTTTCTCATATAATGTTATTAGGTGCATTTATCGGATTACGGATAAAGAATTCCTTATTGAAAAGTCTACCAACCTCTTTGGCAGTTGCTTGCTGTCCAAAGGTAAAATCCTATCTGCTTCACCTGTACGTCGATCAGCAACATACAGCCGACTGCCAAACGTTCAAAAACTATTTTTTAAAAACCATTACTGTGGTGACTGGGCTATGTTAGACCGAAGTCGTAAATAGAGCGGGAGATTTAGAGGGGCTGCAAGCGATTGTTTTATGCGAAGCTGGGGAGTTGTTAAAGCTACTGATAGAGCAAACACTTCGTGGTCGGCCAGCCAACACAGTTGCTTCGAAATTGGTAAGCTGAGCAATGTTGCGGAAGTTTTTGCATGGCGGCGGACATTTTCATCTATTAAGAATGTGCAATCACGCAGCGCTCGAGAATACTTGCATATAGCATGCTTCACTATAGCCACATTTTGGTTTCGAGTTGCAAGGCATTTTGACAAAGAAGGCGGAAATTTGCTGAATTTCTCTCCTAAAGAGATGTTAAAATGTATCACTTTCAACGTTTTATTAAACCAGGTTGTCCAATATGGTGGATGAACCACTATCCATGCGCTTTATTAGAACACTGCAACTGCAACATTTATGATAAACCTTCATTCAAGTAAAATGCTTTAAAATCATCATAGTGGAGTATAGCTGGAATGAATTTCGAGTCTGCAATAATATCCACTAGATGTTATAAAAATGCCCTCTCTAGTCTAAAGTCAATGCTGCTCAACCCCACTACCTCGGACGAGTTTTAAATGGCCCGCAAGCAAGTTATAAAATTCCCGCCAAGTAGAAAAAGTTCAATATTGCTACTTCCAATTGTTTTAAATTTTATTCATCCTTTCATAATCAGTCTGACTGAAATAATTATCCTGCCAATATTTAGTTGGAACTTACTGAACTGCAGAATTACGATTTTTTGCCAAAAAGTGTCTCCGAAACCAGAAAATTATTCAGAAATTTTTGTAGATTTCTGGAAATTAGTACCAAGGAAAGTTTTTCTAGTAACTGACTTGGCATTCTCAATTAGTTGTAATATCCATATGTTCGTGAAAATGTTTGTCAAACCTTGATTATGTAAAACAACAAATACCGCACATCTTTAACCGAGCAACATATTTGTGTGTGTTACTGTCAACTTCGGACTGGACGCCCAAAATAAAAAGGCATTTCAACAGTCAAAAATCACTTTACGTACCTTAGATTTCGATTTGAGATACTTACGTTCAATATTGTCGCCTTAATGAGCATAAGATGTTCTTTATTTGATCACTTCCATAACAACAAAAGAATAATTTGACTTTTTATCGTACAAGTTCTGAGAGTAACTAAAATAGAAATCGTCGGTGGCCCGCTAAAAATGTCTAAGTCACTCCGTTTGACCCGATAGTTAAAACAGTGGAGTAGCCATGACCAAAGTAATCCATCTAAAGTCTTCCTGAATAGCTAGAAATTCTATCTAAGTATCTAGTAGTGTTAGTATTTTCTGTATTCTATTCATGTTATTTTGTAGAAAATGTATCGTTCCTGTAACTGCACTTTATGACCTTTCGATAACTGTATCGATGTTTACGTAATTTTCATCTGTTTGCAAACTGCAAACTAAAATGGTTGGTGAAGTCCTTCTACTGACAAAAGGTGTTTTTGTTCTTCCGGCATTTAGACATCCGTACTATTTCTTGTATTAACCAAATTCCTATAGGCGCAAGCAGAATCGCATTACATATCCCTCTCTACCTTCTTCACAGAATGATTGCAGAGTCAGCTACCAACACTGCTCCTGCTCTCCATCTCCTGATCCTATTCCTGGATACCCACAATTTGATGCCGCCCCGATTACATTATCCGTGTTCGATGCTGTTCAATGCAGGGCATATCAATGACTCTTCCCTAACCGACAGCCTCGGTACCCTTTCAGCCGACGAGACGTCGGCGAGCTAGCTCTCTTCTACCGCTATGTCAACGAGCTTTGCTCCTCAAACCTACCAAACAATCCCGCCTGAGTTCGCCCGTGTCTATCTGTACATCCATAATAGTACGACCGCTCATTTGTCCCTAGAGTATCGAGATTGTGGAAGAATCTACCTGAGGCCTTTTTTAGTTCCTCTAACCTTAGGTAGTTCAAAAATCGGATTAAAAAATTTTCTTCAGGCTCATCATAGTAGCGTCGGGCCTTTTAGACTTCTTCCTACGCCGCTGCTTCAATACAAAACACTAGTTCATAGATTACCAGCATTCCCAGTATATTATCACAATGAAAATGCATCATTCTCAAACTTTACTTTCTCATAATATTTTCGGTTTTCTAACAGCTGTACTGATTCTTTCTCACACCATTTTGATGTTAGCCGACGGTGAATGAAAACGGTTACTTCTGAGGAAAAGTACTTTCGTCAATCACGGTATCAGTATCGGAATAAATTAGCAAGTATCTAGTAGAAAAATGTTTTTCCTCACCTAAAGTCAACACCATGTAAGCTATTGAGGCGCAACGCCCTAGAAGTCGCGGGATTCAGATGCCTGTGACCTGGAACTCGGCGTTCCAGAACCTTCTTCTCTGAATAAAACTATATTTGATACATACCTACAGGATATCTAGCTACCCTAAATAATGGACAAAGTCTTGGGTAAAGGTGAGCTTTTTCAAGTTAGAGCTTTCCTAAAGAAGCAATTAAACGTCTGTCCCAAAAAAGAGTACTTTTTGCTCAACGTCCAGGACATTGTCAATTACTAGCAGCATCCTCAATATTTCACACCCTTGAATGAGCATTCGTATCTATAATCTTGATTGTCAGTATTTATAGAACTTTGTCCACATTACAGAAAATGTATTACTCTGAAAATGCACTGTCTCATGATACCCTTGGCCTTTTAACAGCTGTATCGATTTCTACGATATTTTCATACGTTTGCCAAATGTGACTAAGAACAGATGCAGGGATCTTTCTACTGAGCAGAAATACCTACTTAGATTCTTTATATACCTTTACCTAGATTTTAATAAATCACGGTATCAGTATCAGAAGATATTAGCAAGTATATGTGCAAGGGCTAAGCCAAACTACCCAATTAAGGCACAAATCTACCTATCTCTCCCTCCTTGATTAGCGGATGCAGGGTTCAACTGACCGAGGTGGCACTACCGTCGCTCTCCATGTCTAGAGACCATCCCCGGGTACTCACAATACTGGCACAGCACTCACACGATAGCGCGAACTGAAAGTCACCTGTACTGGAAACTAGAGTTCGGGGTTCTAGAACCTACTTGCCTGGATTATTGGTCTATGTACGTTATGTTTCAGAAAAAAACCATGGCAGAAATTGAACTACATTCGATATCTATGGGATATCCAGTTACTCTATATTACGGACAAAGCCTTGGCTTTAAGTGACCTTTTTCAAGTTAGAGCTTTCCTAAAGAACGTATTAAACGTTATCGAATATTCCAAATAGAAAAAAATAGTACTTTTTGCTCAAGGTCCAGGATAGCAGCATCCTCAATATTTCACATCCTTAAATGAGTATTCGCATCTGGAATCTAGATTGGCAGAATTTACAGAACCTTGCCCGCATCATAGAAAATGTATTACTCTGAAACTGCACCTTCTCATGATACCCTTGGTCTTTCAACAGCTGTATCGTTTTTACGACATTTTCATACGTTTGCAAATGTGACTAACAACGGATGCAGGAATCTTTCTACTGAGCAGAAATACCTACTTAGATTTTTGCTATACCTTTACCTAGTATTTAATGTACACATCTCATGGTATCAGTATCAGAACATATTAGCATGTATCTATTAGTGAAATGTCCTTTTTAGTGCAAGGTCAGAGCCAAACTACCCCATTAAGGCACATGACGGAACAGAATCCCAGTGAAGGTCTAGATATCTACCTTTCTCTCTCTCCCTCCTTCATTAGCGGCTGCACAATTCATCTGACCGAGGTAGCACTACCGTCGCTCTCCGTGTATAGAAACCATCCCCGGGTACTCACAGTACTGTCACAGCACGATAGAGCGAGCTGGAAGCCAGCTGTACTGAGACCTAGAGTACGGGGTTCCAGAACCTACTTCTCTGGATTATTGGTCCAAGTATGTTCCAGAGACAACCACGGCTATAAGTATCTAGGGGACATCTAGGTTATTCTATATAGTGAACAACGCTCCAGCACTTGTCCAAAAGTGAACCGTTTCTAGTTAGAGCCTTCCTAAAACACACTGTTGAGAACTATTTAAAGTTACAATAAAAAAAGTCCTTTTTGCCCAAGGCAAAATAGGGCATTTCAAGCATTAGCAGCATCCCAATAATTCACATCCTCAAATGAGTATCTGAATTTAGAATATAGATTATCTGTATTTCCATTATTTTGTCCAGGTTCATATATTTGCTAACTGTAACTGAAAATTATTGCTCAAGACTTTATACTCTTACTCTTACTTGGATTCCTGCTACATCTACACATGTATACTATTCTCATGTATCTCAGTGTCAGTATCGGAATATATTAGTGTGTATCTATGAGAACAATGTCTTTTCAAATATGACAAGCCAGCCTTGTCTATCGAGGAATAAGGATCAGCTGGACCGCGCTGAAGATCAAGTATCTATCTCTCTCTCTCTCCTTCACAAGTGGCTGCAGGAATGTCTGACCGAGGCGGCACAACGGTAGCTCTCCATATTCAGGTACTATTATTGGGTACTCAAAGTACGCTCACAGCACCTACACGATAAAGCGAGCCTCCCCACCTGCAATAGGACCTGAAACTCGGGGTACCATAACCTATTTATCTGGATTATTAGTCCAAGTATGTTTCAGGGACAACTACAGCGGTATGAAACTATTTGAGATATCTACAATATATCTAGTTGCTCTATATTGAGGTCAGTGCTCCGATCCTTCGGTAAAGGTGACTATTTAGAACTTTCCTTAAGCTATTAAAAATTATCGAAAGCTTCAATCACAACAAAGTCATTTTGCTCAACGTCCAAAACATTGTCAATTATCAGCGACATCACTAATCTCTACATCCTTAAATAAGTATTTGCATCTAGAACATAGATTGTCAGTATTTTGTCCAGATTACAGAAAATGTATTATTAACTACACTTTCACATGAGATATTATGTTATCCCTGACCTTTAAACAGCTGCATCGATTATCACATTTTCACATGTTCACCAACTCTAGAAGTCTTTCCAGTTAGAAAAATTACTTAGATTCTTGCTACATTTATACCTGCATACTATTTTCAGTGCCAGTATCTGAATATATCAAAAAATTGTCTTTTCAAATATAAGGTCAAAGTCAGCCTTCAACCATCGAGGCACAAGGCCCAGCAGAATCGCGGTGAAGGTCAAGTATATACCTCTCTCTCCCTCCGTCACAAGCGGCTGCAGGATTCAGCTGACCGAGGCGGCACTAGCGTAGCTCTCCATTTCCAGGTACTATCCTTGGATACTCACAATACGCTCACAGCACTCACACGATGGAGCGAGCCTCCGCACCTGCACTGGGACCTGGGGCTCGGAGTTCCAGAGCCTCCTCTCTGGATTCGCGCCCGACACGACTGACGCACAGGGTCAGAGCGTGGAGAGGCCTGCCGCCGCGCCGGCTGCGGGACTTTCCCCACGTTGCCACGTCTAACAACCCTTACTAGGGCAGATCACCCTATCTCTCGGATATGTTTCTATTTCTAACCACACAGGGGAAATTTTTCGGGGTCGATTTAATATGTATCGTGTTGACAGAACATGTCATCGTCGGCAATGAAAGGTATTAAAGAATATTGTCAGGAAAATTGAAGAGCCAATTCGTTAAAATATGAAAATAGTTCATATAAGCATATATCCGTGTTTCAACTATTACGACTGTAATAGTTGATCTTAGGTTCTTCGAAAACAGACTGAGATATTAAGTATATTTAGTGTATGGTAGAATTGCCATGGCATGCACAAAGTGTTTTCTAGACTTCTACTAAAACCAATGGCGTTCATGCCAGCAAGCCTCTATATTTGGCATAAGAACAATACGCCATTAGTTATGCAAACAAACTAAAATATCAGTATTTCAAAGCCAGATTGATTCTGCTCAAAAACTGCCTCTTGATGTTCTACGAGTTGACACTTATTTTGAAAGAATCAGTGACGTACAGTTTTTCGCAGAACATAAACCACTGCATCATGAAAATGAAGCATTTTCCACGTCCATGATCAAATGAACATTTTTACTTCATATGCCAGCTAGCGAGGAAGTAGGTATTACAATCACGAAAAATTTCCAAAATGATATTCTTTTTAAGGCAAATTTGCGCGCACGAATGTTGTGCGCGCACACATATGTGCGCGAATTATTTAGAATGTGAAAACGTGCGCGTAAATTGTGTGCGATAATTTCTGTTCCGTCTAGAGTAGCCGCTTATTTAGTTTCCGATCAGCTCCGTTTTTATAGCGTTGTCAAAATGTCCAACAACAAACAAATTAAAATAGCAAGTGCAGCCTACATAGTGATGCATTCTTGTAAACGGAAGAACAAACGGGATAAGCGATGGTGGGTTACGCAGTTGTATAAAAGCAGAGACATGTATAGTGGATCAACATTGTTAGCGGATTTGAAATTCCAAGAAATCAGCGGGCAGTTTCAAAATTTTGTCCGTATGTCTTCACAGCATTTTGAGCTACTAATTAATATGATCGGACCCAAAATAAGGAAACTGAATACGAGACTGAGAATGGCCGTTCCCGTTAAGGAGCGACTTGCCATAACTCTACGCTTTTTAGCGACGGGAGATTCATGTACAAGTATGCAGTATCTTTTCAAAGTTTCAAAACAGCTTATATCTTCCATTGTTCCTGAAACATGCCGGGCCCTTATTGAAGTTCTGAAGGATTATGTAAAGGTAATTAGATAATTTGTTACACATACTTAAATATTTATTTATTAAACTTAGAATGCTACAGCTTGAAATGCGTATATATAAACCAAAATGTAATTATGTCGTACAATGTTGAATGCGTCACGTCAAAGTGAGTCTGAATAAGCCAACTCTACATTTACCATTTCCGTTAAGGTGGGGTTAGGGGTTGAGCAGTGGGATTGTGAGGAAGAATAAGTTGTGTAAGGAGTTAGACAGGGAGAACGTGATGGGGTAGAATGTGGTGTAGAATTAGGAGGATACATTGTTGGAAGAGGTGTTGTAAGTTGTTGTGGCATAGTATGAGGAACAAACTGCACCACTGGTGGAGCAACCCACTCGTATTTGCCAATATCAGCATCATATAGAATTCTACTGAAAGCATGTTCAACTTCGACTCGAGTCCTTCTACTGTAACCTCTCAGTTTATTTGCTATATGTTGTCCATATACTGCAAATTCATCTTCTGTGACGACTGGTTGAGGTGCGGCCACTTTTTTCAAAATTTGATAAGCTTCCTCCAATCTTGGATCTTCATTTTTACTTTTTGCTTTGACCTTTTTCGGTTTTGGAGACATTTCATTCACATCCTGTTCATTTTCGGATTGCAAGTCAATTTGACGTCTTTTGTTTCCTTCACTTGCATCTAAATTAGAATTTTGGGGAGAACTATCAAACGGTCCGAGATCTTTTTCCCCAGAATTCTGTACGTCATCAATAACCTGAAAAAATTAAAAATTATAAAAAGTTATTCATTTGAATGTTAAATCCAAAACTATATGAATTTTTCAGATGCCGTCAACTCCTGAAGAATGGTTATTAGTTTCAGAACAATATCAAGAGTTGTGGAACTTTCCAAATTGCTTGGGCGCCATAGATGGAAAGCATGTAGCGCTACAAACTCCAATAAACAGCGGCAGCGAATACTATAACTATAAATCACACTGTAGTATTGTATTATTCGCTTTAGTTGACGCAAATTACAATTTTATATTTGCTGATGCAGGCTGTCAGGGTCGAATTTCTGATGGAGGCGTGTTTAAACACAGTACACTATATAAAAGATTACAGAGCAATGACTTGAAGATTCCTACAGCAAGAAGTCTACCAGGAAGGAATCAGGAGGTGGAGTATGTATTTCTCGGACATGAAGCATTTCCGTTGAGTAAGCATATTATAAAGCCATTCTCAGGAACCCATCGGAAACGATCACTGGAAAGAATATTCAATTATCGTCTTAGCCGAGCCCAAAGAATTGTAGAAAATGTCGAATATTACGAAAGCCTATACTTTTAGAGCCCGAAAAGGCAGAACTTGTCGTAATGACTTTTTAAGAAGAAATAGACACTCTCGGACGTTGTATAATCCCACGGGAACCTTCGATACTGATATAGATGGCCAATTTGTACCAGGCAATTGGAGAGAAACACCAAATGAAAACATGTCATCGCTAATCCCTATTAGAAGTTTGCCCCGAAAATCACCTAAAGAAGCACAAGACATTCGAAACGAGTTTGCTGCATACTTCACTAGCAATGGTCGTGTACTATATGTTGGCAAGACCATTATGCATAAATTCTAGTTATGTAAAGGATGAGTCATTAGTGTGTCATCATGGCGGGTCTTAATACAAATGTTACCTATTTCATAATCTTCTTTGAAATGCAACCCCATATATTTTATAGCATTGTTGATTGCCGTTTTTAATGCACTTTGAACTTGTTCTCCGGCTTATTTCTTACGAATTATACACCGAGGACACAGTAGTGACTCACCCTGTACAAAAATCCTATATAAATAATAAAATACTTACGCATTCTGTCTCTGTATCAATTGTTTCTCTTGGTTCATCTTTGTCAAGTAAGTAATGCATTCTTTTAAATGCATACCATTTCGATACATACACATCTTGCCGACCTTCAAAATGCATTTTTATAAATACCTTCAAAAGAATCAGGATATTTACTAACCTTTGCCTGTCCCAATACTTTTTGTTCCTTTTGCATTTTCTCTACGAAATGACCCTAGAAGACTATTCATTCTCTGTTTCGCTTCATGCTCTTCCACTTTTAAGTTATACGCAATACGTTCCCACGCATCTGCTTTTTTGGTCTTGAATAGTGCTCTGGATGTTTGGCATTCCATAAAATCGGATATTTTTCATATTCATCTATTAATTGGAGCGCCTTTTCATTTGCCCACTCCATATTTTATACTGTGCGCGAACAACCGTTCCTACAAAAACACCGTCCACACTGAGCACACGTTTCCTTTGATGTACCGACAAGCGACGGAAAGTATTCGTGCGGGAACGCGCTTACGCACACATTTTTGGGTGGTACGAACGCTGTGCGCGCAAATTTGCTCAAGTCAGTACGCGCCTTAAGGTATTAAAAGACATGTACATTACGAAAACTCACTTCCGTCGGTCTGTTTGTCCATCTGTCTGCTCATTGTTATATTGTAGTATCTTGATGAGAGAAGTGACTTGTGAGACTAGACAACACCCTGTATATGCATAGTTGCATCCCGTCCAACTTATTTAGTTGGACTTGCTTTTAGAGTACGTTTGGTGATTCGTAAATTGGTTTATTGAATATGAAGTAACTTTTCAAAGAATAGATAGTTCATAGATGAAAACGAAAAAATAACAGATGCTTTTGGCAATGCCGCTTTTCGAATCGGAGTAAGTTACTTGCAGTAATGGGTGCAGGACAGTACCGAGGGTCAGGGGATGAAGCTCGAAGCTGACGCGAGCGAGGAGAAAACGTCTTCCACAAAGCTGAGTACCGGTCGAGTTATTTGCTTTCGGTTGTTTCAGCTACTGGTAGTGATATAAAAGTTTTGTTCAGGATTTTGAAAGGTTCCTTTATTTTTAAAATTGACGGGCACTTCCCAAAAATTGATGCACCGCAAAAAATGATAGTTATGCAGCTTAGAAAAATTTTTTGACAGGAAAAACCTTTTATAGCCACCCTCAGACAGAAATGCTTGACAGTATTGCCATGTCAACATTTTAGCTCAACATATTAGATTCTCCCTATACCTCCACCAAGGTAATACTTTCAGCATTTCGCAATGGTGTACATCGTTGCGCTAAGATTTTATACCGAAGGTATTTGGTCATCTTATTTTTGAGCCGTGCATATAACCTACATCTGTATTTATTTGCATGCACAGCCTGGTAAGTAGTAGCCTATTGTTGGTTCCTTGGTCTATTTTTGTCCTCTCGTGCCTTGGTCAGCATGATTTGACTCACTGTTGGTTGAATCGCACTTGCCCTCGCCTACATTCCTGGAAAATCTGTCAGCTGTGAGCTTTTCGCCGGGCGTTAATTCCAGCTGCCTCAACCACATTCAAGTAGATGATTGGGAGTATCCTCTCTTTCGGTGCCATATGATTATATAGTATGCATAGATCCGCTTTCCTACCCTCTTCAGTTGCCAAAGCAATCATATCATGTGAAAGACTGTAGTAATCTATCTGCACCACTCCCGTGTCAACCCAAGCTTTATTAACTGGGATCCATCTTTTGGTCAATGCACCATGGCCAGCTGCGCCCCATCTCTTCTGCCATTTGACGAAAGGAGTCTCACTTTCGTCGCTTCTTGCTTGGGCGCCCTATTTATAGAGGGCGCATCTAACCTCAGCCAGCAAAGCAAATGGAAGGATACCAGCCACCACCAGCAGTGCGTCAGTGATATTTTTTTGCGATTGAAGCTGCGTAGGTTAGTGTCCTTACACTATATTTAGAAGTTATGTTTTTCTTAATATGGGTGGTCCATCTATCGTTTTTTTTTGAGTTACTGGTTTTTTGGGATATGTCAAGACTTATTTCGCATCTCATTTGACAGAACATCAGTCATATCATTCCGATTAACGAAAATGGTTGTGTATTCGCTTGAACATTGCTGGGAAATATTAAAACAATATTTCGAAAGTGGTGGTAATGTTGCAGATTGTGTCCGAAAATTACGTGCACAAATGGGAAGAAATGAAGCACCGTCAGCACCGTATGTGAGGTATTTTGTGCAAAAAGTTCGTGAAACTGGTCTTCTTATTGACAAACCAACACGTGAAAGACCGAAAACGGTGCGTACACCCGAGAATATCGATGCTGTAGCTGAGAGTGTGGCAGAGTCTCCAAGCACATCAACGCGCCAACGTTCTCAACAATTGAACATTTCACGCACATCATTAGGTCGAATTTAGCATAAAGACCTTGGTATGAAGGCGTACAAAGTTCAATTGGTTCAGCAATTGAAGGCAACTGACCATCCAATGCGTTTTCGCTTCGCTTCATGGGCCTGCAATCAACTTGATGAAGATGTTGATTTTGGTCGAAAAATCATCTTTTCAGATGAAGCGCATTTTTATCTTGGCGGCTATGTTAATAAGCAAAACTGCCGCATTTGGGGTTCAGAGAACCCACACGCAATCGAAGAAAAGCCAATGCATCCAGAACGAGTGACTGTTTGGTGCGGATTTTGGGCTGGTGGCATCATTGGCCCATTTTTCTTTGAAAATGAAGCCGGAGCAGCAGTTACTGTGAATGGTGAGCGTTACCGTACCATGATAAATGAATTTTTCTTTCCACAAATTCAAGATATTGATGTCGGTAACATCTGGTTTCAACAAGACGGTGCTCCGTGTCACACAGCAAACGCTACGATTGCTCTTCTGCGAAGTGTTTTCGGTGATCGCATTATCAGCCGAAATTCTGATGTTGTTTGGCCGCCTCGGAGCTGTGATTTGACCCCATTAGATTATTATTTATGGGGTGCCATTAAAGACCAATGTTATGCCAACAAACCAGCAACAATTGGCGAAATAAAAGAGAACATACCCGCTGCCATTGCTGAAATACAGCCACATACGATTGAAAATGTGGTCAAAAATTGGACTGACCGTATGGGCTACTGCAAAGCCAGCCGCGGCAGTCATTTAAATGATGTTGTATTCCATACTTAATCGGAAGGATTGTACTTTCAAATAAAAAAAAAAATTTGGAAAAATATTTAGTAGTTTTTTTTATAGCATTTTTAAAAAAAAAAATTTAAATGGACCACCCTATAAAGGCTTACAATACAAAAGTCAAAAATTGAAACTATATTATGTCACTACATTTTTAATATACTAAGTGACATATAAATCCGAACACCCAGTTTAAATGGTTTTATTTTAATAAAAGTTGGTGAATGTATACAGGGTGTTCCATAATTATTGCGACAAAATGATAGGGGTTATAGAGGGCATAAAAATATGCAATTTTGCCTTATAAACCCCTGTTCGTAAATATGCCGTTTGAGCACTACAGTTAATTTTACCTTAAGAGCTCATAGGAGAAACAAAAAATTCACCAGCTGCAAAATGTTCGTCTAGCACATTTCATGGTCTCGCCGGTTTGTAAAAAAAGCCTGCTGTGTTTACATTTTTGTTATCGTACACCCGTACCACCTTTTAAAAGTCCAAGCCATGGGTCCAGCAGACTATCTGCCGCGTCGACGTTTTTGTCGTTGGTGGCTGCAGCAGGAGTTGAGGCAACCAAACTTTGGTCGCTACGTTTTGTTCACTGACGAGTCCTGTTTTACAAAGGACGGTTATTTTAATAGCCGTAACAGTCACATTTGGGATGAAGAAAACCCTCATGCCATAGCCATCCATAGAGACCAACATCAGTTTTCAATTAACATCTGGTGCGGCATTGTGGACGAGCATATCATCGGGCCATATCTGCTTCCACCACGTTTGGATGGGCATGCTTATGGTCGATCCTTACAGCATGTGCTACCGGAACTATTAGAAAATGTGCCACTGAATATAAGAGCCAACATGTGGTTTCAACACCATGTCGGTCCAGCCCACTTTTATTTACAAGTGCGGCAGTATTTGGACGACAAATTTCCAAATAGGTGGATAGGCCGAGGTGGCCCTGTGCCTTCGCCTGCGCGGTCACTTGACCTGACCCCACTGGATTATTTTATCTGGAGCTATCTGAAAGCTTTAGTGTACGAAACTCCTGTTCCCAACCAACAAGAGCTACTGGGAAGAGTGATGGCCGCGTCCGCACATGTTCAGGACATACCGGGGGTATGCCACAGAGTTCGCCGATCATTGAACAATCGTGCACAGCTGTGTATTGAGCAAGGTGGAGGACACTTTGAGCAATTACTGTAGGTAAGCTGTTTCAAGAAACTGATCT